CAAATTACACATATTGGATGAAGAGGCAACTATATATTAGCAATTTTCAACTATATTAGCTCAAATAACACTTGAACTAATAGGTTGTAGCACTTGTATTAAAACTCCAAAGCATAATCGATAATTTAACTATGTTTACTTTCATTAACTTATGAGTCTAACTGACAGCAAGGCAATCTCCTTCCACAATAATACTTCTCCAGCCCAAGTCATACGCAAATTTCATACCCCATATGATAGCCAATAGCTTCAGCTACATTTGTCTCCCATCACTCGATGCCCTGCACCACAAAACATCCTTATTATAGTTAGGCAACACTGCCCCCAGACTAGTCCCTAACTCCCCTACAACTCCAGCATCAACACTCAGCTTTCCCCACCCCTCATCAGGTGGTGACCAGGCTATAAGAAGGGGCATACCAGCACCCCTCTTTTAATTGGATTCATTGAGGCATTTTGTCAAACACTTAGTGTGCATTAAGAAATCAACAACAATAATTGAATAATCAAAATTAATTCAATGTAAAGTAAAAAAAAATAAACAAATTCAGGCTGAAAAACAAGAAATATTAAAATTCAATTGCAATTTGATTTAAAATTGAAGAAAAACAAGAAATATTAAAATTGAAATTTAATTCAGATATTTATAAAAAAGACATAAAACGTCTTGCCTCAGAAGCTGATTCAATGGAGTATCAAAACCTCGAAAAAGCTCGAAATTCCCTTTAATGGAGAATACAGATCATTAGCTTCAATGAAGCAAAGCAATTGTTAACGAAATTACAAATGAACGCTCCAAATTGATAGGATATATGATCCGATAAACGTAGAAAAAAAAATTAAACCCTAAAAATCGAATAATACCAAATTTACAATAATTACCTCTATAGTTAAGAAATTGTGCAATTAGTTTAGCAAATTATTGAAGAATTGTTTAAATTATAGCAAAATCAAATCGAGTTGTTGATTGAGGTAAGAAAGCAAGAAAATGGTGGAGGAGAACAAAAATGGCGTCCGTTAGAATGAAACAGAAAGGAGCGGAGGAGAGAGAAAATCGCGGAGGAGAGAGAATTCGCGTCTGAATAGATCACAGCCCTCGATATAGCGCGCGCCCCTCATTAGATGCGACAATTAGTTCCTAGTTCCTATTGTATTATTGGTTCTCATTTTAATATTGCACTAAGAAACATACTACAATTCATCTCCACTCTTGTAATATATCATCCAAATAACAATAAAAATAAGAATTTTTTGTAAATATTTTAATATCTGAAAAATAAAAATCACAAAAGTTTATCATTTAAAGATGGGGGGAAAGATAAAAGGGTCTTCACCATCAAATTAAATATCAATGTATCTTTTTTTTTTTTAAATACAACATTTTTCTTTTTTATTTTTAAAAAAATAGTAAATACCACATTTTTTTAAATAGTAAATACAACACTTCTTTTTAATAATGATTTATTCATAAACCAAAAGTCATACGACATCTACAAAGATATGACCGTTGTTGTAAATCGTACATTCTGCATACCCTTTTTTAAATCGCTATGATTTACGACTTTTTTCTGTGATGGGGTCTATTGTTTTGTTGTAGCTGTGAAGAAAAATTTCCGTCGGATTTGTCTGATTATAATTGAAAGATTAAACATTTTTTCGATCCCACACAAATTTTTATCCATGAAAGCAACTCTACATTAACCCATCAAACAAAATAGCAAATACTCCGATCCCTCAAAAAAGGAAAGAAATAAAAACCTTATCTTCTGAAGGAGAAAAATCCTCCTAATTAAACAAGAAGAAAAAACCTTTCTTTGAAGGGAGAAATGTTTCTCCTATTAGGGAAGAGTTCTTATAAACCTAAAACAAACAAAAATCAAGATAAAAAGCACACAATAAACAAAGATTGAGGCTTTAATATCCAGCTGTGAAAACTGATGAAAGCCCATAAAAAATTCAACAATGGAGGCTAGCATTTTAACTTGCATGTATTATTGTTGAGGCTAGTTCCTCAAATTGATGGTTTGCTCCTGACAAAAAATTGATGGTTTGTTGTAAATACAACACTTCTTACATTGTTAATATATTACATCATTCTCTAATACTTATATTACTAATATGTAAAAATAAGTAAAATAAATAAATTTGATATATTAATAAAAAAAAATCGAGACGAATGTAACATGCCACCTGACTATATTTTTTCTTAGCTATAAGTCATTAAAGCTGGTCAAAATGGAATTTATGAATAATATAAAAGTCAAAATGTTCTATTTTATAAGAGAACGGAGGAAGTATTACAAAAGAGGGGGAAAAATAAAATAGATCTTCACTATCAAATAGCTATGAGGATTTGATCACATGACCTTTAAAACATGAGACCAAACCCTTACCACTAAGACAAGAGCCATACATGATTATTATTTCCTCTGTTTTTTTAGTTACATCACTTTTTCCTAAAAGGAAAGTTTTAAATTAAATGCATCATTTTCCTTTTTAACTAATAAATTACATTTATATCTCTCCTATCACATGGCCCCATTTATTTTTTCTCTTTACTCTAAAAATTGTCTGAAAATACGTGATACCAAAAGTGATACAACTAAAAAGGACGAACTAAGATTACTTTAAAAAGTTGGAAAATGCAAAATAACTTAAACTTAGAAAATGGTCTAACCTTTTTAAAACAAACACCTATTGATCGAAGATAGTAGCCATCATGTCTTCCATAAATTTCAACGATAGTACCATCATCCCCTCCGGAATCTGGAGTTGAAAAACTGCAACTATGTCTAACATCTCTTTCTTGTCCGTATGGTCCGTATCCACCCTCACATAAGTTGGTGTGTATTCTTAAGGACGCGATTACATGATCATGGCTGTGCACATAAATCCCACATCTGCCGCTTATTTGTGTTATATATTCATCAGGCTTCAGAGTAATCTGCACATCATATGACAATAATGAATGGTTTTATAAAAGCCAAGCTAAGTTAATTGATAATAAGGATGAAAACTTGAGACTAATTTATCTGTTACATTAGGATGCACATCATATAACAATAATGAATGGATTTATATAAGCTCAGTATTTCATTCTTCTGTATCATGCGTATATAATTGTAGCTGTACTTACCTTCGAACAGGCTCCGCCTCTGCCGCCAAACAATTTAGCAGTGGTTCTTCCATTACTACCTTCAAGTAAGAACCCAATTGAATCAACAATGAAACCGTAGCGAATAATAATTTCTTTGATACGTGCCCGTTCTTCAAGTATTACATTCCAATTTGGTGGACTATTGGAGCCAAATGGCCCGTGCTTCTCAATTGCTTGCATCTTAAAGAACCTTATTACTAGATCGAAATACAGCTAGTCGTACACTCTTTACTCTTAAGGCTGGAGGAAGCTAAACAGATTTATAAAGGGAAGGGCTAATAACAAGAATTTAATATATATATGTATACTCTCAAATGCATATGCAGCTAAGATTTATACAAGCTTATAAATGATTAACATATTCTATCATTGGAAAAGAAGCAAACGATAAACCCGTCGGATTTCAAAATCTAGTTAGAATGGATTCTAAACCTCATATCAATTTTTTTTCAGTCAGAGGTTACTTGTGGGGTTACTTGGTCAGGGGTTACTCGGTAAGGGGTTACTTGAGGGATTTCTTGATCAGGGGTTACTCGAGGGGTTACTTGATCAGGGATTACTTGAGGGGTAACCCGGTTAGGGGTTACTTGAGGGGTTACTCGGTCAAGTTTAACTCGAGTAACCCCTGAACGAGTAACTCAAGTAACTCCGACAACTTGAGTCACCCCTAACCGAGTAACTCGAGTAGCCCCGGCCACACAATGTGGCCAGCCACACAGAAAAATTCCCCAACGATTGTTATTATGCGTATAGTGGTCTAGTGGTGAAGGCTTCATATTTTTAGAGGAAAGTCAATTGTTGAGTGAAGTTCTAATATACTATATACCAATATTGTTGATTGAAGTTGTGAAATTGTTGATTGTTGTAAAACTAATAATAAAATCTATAATATTAAAACACAATGAGACAACGTGTTAACGCCATGTATCACAATTCCCTCGATATGATTAGGCGCCACATCATCGCTATGTGTCACCCGTACGTGTCACTCTATGTGTCATCACTCTAAAAATTTTCATATGTGTAACTTTCATACTTAACTTTCCCCTACAATAATGTAACTTCTAAGTAATTGAACAATAAGCTACAATTTAATTTATAAGAAAGTAATCACATACTAATGGTTGTTGATTCCTTGGATGTTAATTTTCTAGATTTAATCCAGCTTAGCAATTAGACAATAACAATTACAAGTATTTTACTGCATCTCATCCTAAATAGCAAAATATATAAGATATAAATACTAAATACTAATCCTAAATAGCAAAATGTATCTTCTAATAATATTAGAAAATAATATCTTTTCAATCTACTAATTCTACTCCAACTCTAATTCGATTAATCACGCGTAACTTTGGATTGACGCCACTCAACCTCATGATTAAAAAACGACTCAATAAAAATAAATAAAAATAATAAAATGATGATATTGATGCCTTGGATATGCATATATATTTAGTCCAAACAATTAGACAATATGTTTTCGTTGCCAAGGTTTGGGACATGTTGCTAAACAATGCCCCAATCGATCCATGGTTACACGGGAGGAATTTTATACGTTTATGTTGCATAATATGGATGATGTTACACACTACTAGAAACAGGCCGATTTTCGACGGACCATTTCCGACGGACATGTTTTCCGTTGTAAATTTCCGACGGATTTTTATTCCGTGGGAAATTTACGACAGATTTTCTATTGAACAAAAATCCGTTGAAATTAATGGGCCTTCGAAACGTAAGGTTTCGACGGAAATAAAATCCGTCGGAGCTTTCCGACGGAATATTTCGTCGAAATAATTATTTTTCGGCGGAAATTAATTCCGTCGGAATATATTTACATAATAAAAAAAAACCTAATAAACCCGGTTTCCCCTCCCCCTAAAATGTCTATTTTCTCTCTCCTCTCCTCTCCGCCTCTCTTCTATTTCTCTCTCTCCTCTCTTCTTTCCTCTTCTCTTCTGTTCTCTTTCTACTCCATTTCTCCTTCTCCTTCCTTCTCTTTCTCCTCCATTTCGCCTTCTCCTTCCTTCTCTTTCTCAACCATTTCGCCTTTCCTCAACAACAACACAACAACCACACCAACGCGCAGCGACAACAACCACCTCAACGACAACAACAACACCAGCAGGCAGCCGCAACGACAACAACACCAGCAGGCAGCCACAATGACAACCACCACAATTGTAGATCTAGGTTTTTTAAAAAAAAAAATAATCAAATTCTGATTAATTTCGTATGATAATTGTAAGATAAATTATTTTTTGGGATAATTGTAATGCTATTTTATTTAATTTGTATGATAATTGTAAGATAAATTATTTTTTGGGATAATTGTTTGATTTCAATTTTTTTTTGTTTAATTTTTTTCGATTTTTCGATTTTTGGATGTTTGGGTTCGGTCGTTGGTTAGGATGGGTGATTGGTTAGGGTGGGTGGTTGGTT